GAGATAATTTAGCTTGTAGTTTAAGATCTGTAGCTGTCATATACTTGTAAATAATTACCTATTGATCAATAGAATGGGACACACGATTCTATTTTCATAACTTTGTTACCTTGCGTGATAGGGCACTAGCGGCTTGGCTAAATCCGGAGTTGCCAAAATGTTCACAATGAGGAAAAGAAAATAGCATCAAACCTATTCTCAAAGACATCAAGAAAAAGGCCATTAATTGGTTGTTCTTGTTGCTCAGCAAACTGCTAAGTTCTTGCACCATTGATCAACTCAAATATTTCTGCAAGCACACCAATAACCGTCCAACTGGTGCCAAAGATCAACTGGTACCAAATTAATTGGAATAATTAACTTGGTGTACATTTTTGTCCGTTTTAATTTGGCGTACATTTTGTCCATTTTAATTCTCCTTTATTTTAATATTTTTGTAATTTTTTTAAAAAAAAATATTATTTAAGTAAAAATTTCCCAAACTCCACTTTTCAACGTTTATTATTTTTATTTAAAGTACAAAATGTTTTTTTATTATTTAAATAAGAAAGATCTCATAATGATACTTCTTTTTTTATTTTTAAAAAGGAGTCTATATATGTACATTAATAATGATAGCTACATACGTGTAAGTTGCTATCATTTTATTTATATCAGTTCTGTTTACATAATTTTTTTAAAAACACTTTTAAAAAATAATAAAATAAAATAATTTTTTTCATAACATAAAAGTTAATTTATACGGAAACTAGAGAAACTCTTTTTTATTAATTTCTTTAAAAATATCATTTTTAATTTGTATAAGTTAGTTTAAATTTATGAATCTTTTTATTATTTTCTTTTTTTTCCTAAAAGTATTTTTAGAAAAATTTATTAAAAAAAATCTATTATAAATTTTTATTTTGTAGGACATGTAATTTGACCCTTCTTCGTCCTTTCTCTTGCCTGGAAATTTTAAAAAAAATAATAATAATAAATTTTTTACTTTTCTTTATATTTGTAGAAATTTTTATTCAAACATTTTTATTCTTATATCCGTATTGAAACAATGATCAAGAGTCGGCAACATCATTGCTCAAAATAAAATTTCCAAATAGCCTATAAATGTTTAGAACTTAGGATTTAAAGAGAATCTGTGTGAGTGTGACCAATTCCAAAACCAAGTTTAATTAGTAATTAGCAATTTAGATGATTACTGCAGAAATGGGACTTTTTGTCATGTTTCAGATCACTCAGAACAACCAACTTTGCCGCCGCTTTGTGCTAAAATTTTTTGTATTTGAATTATTTGATTTCAATTTTTATTATTTTTAAATATTTTATTTTGATAAATTAATTTAAATTTTTTAAATTTTTAAATTATTAGTTTAAATATGATAATTTGATTTTATTATAATAAAATTGATTTTAAAAATATATTTATATATTAATATTTTTAAATTAAATTTTTAAATAAAGTTTTGTAAAAATAAATATTAATCAATTTTAAATATTTAATAATTTTAAAAATTAATATTAGATAATATTTAATAATTTTAAAAATAATTTTAAATATTCAATAATTAAAAACATAAAAAAATACGAGATAAGATAAAATATATAAGTAAAATAAGAAAAAAAAATAAAAAATTTTAAATTCTTACTATTTTAGAAAATTTTGAAATTTTACTATTTTAAAAAATTTCATAAATACTATAATTTTAAATTCTTTATAAATTCTTCATCTAAATAAAATATTTTACTTCAAAAAATTTAAATTTTTTTAAATAAATGAATTACTTTATTTAAATTTCACATCCAAACAAATTTTTAGATAATTTTTCAATAAAAAATTATTGTAAATTTTATTTCAATCTGTTCTTAGTGCAAATTTGTATAAAGTATCCTAATGGAATTCGATATTTTCAAAACCGGTAATTTTTTACAAGATCCAAATTAAATGATTAAATTTTTATTCGTGAGACTAATAAATTTAATGTTGCAGTGAGTTCTTTATTAGCGAACTAGCAACTAAATTTTTAACTTGATAAGGTTTTGTGCTTTGAGATTATATATATTAAATACAAAGTACTCAACGTATTCAATTCAAGAAAATATAGTAAAAAGGAGTTATAGGTATAAGAAAGTGTTATTGAGAGAAGGAGTGCAGCAGAAAGGGTTATAGAAAGAAGAAAGAGTCGCAGATAGAAGAAAATCGAGAAAGAAGTACTCTGGTGTGAGAGGCGAATTACATATACTTTTTTAGGAACCTTGGGTCATTAGTGTTGGCGTGAATGGTGTTTAGAGTCTTGTATTTGATGTAATTGAAGAAAAAAAAATGGTCAATCCTGCCTTATTTATAGTTTTGTAGTCTACCAAACAAAATATAAGACTTTGAGATATGTACAATAACTTCTTAAATATTACAAGATTCTGGCATGTATTCTCCAGAAAGTTATTTGTCTCGATTAAAGCAATACTTTTTTTTAATGGTTGATAATTGCTCCCAATTTTTTTTTTTTTTATATCATTGTATTAATATGAGTCTTTATCAACTTTATTAATAATTAGTAATTATTTTCAATTTGATCACATTTCTCAAATATATGTAATTATATTTTAAGATATTTGTCAAACTATTTGAGGAAACGTAATTGTTTTCTCAAGATAACTATTAAATATCTTGAATAAAATTTCTCAAAATGCTAACCATTTTATCACATTTCTTTTGATGTTGAATCTTCTTTTTAATTTTATCTAACCATTAATTATTTTTTAATAAATTTTTACAAAGTAATGACAAGTATTTAACTAAAATTTAATTTTTTTATTTTACATTAAGAGTAGTTCAATAAAGGAACTTTGATGTTTATAAGTGCAACACATTCTATAATATACTCCTTTTAATACAATTTTTATTGATTATAATTTATTAAAAAAAACACAAAATCATGAGTGAGAAAAAAAATCATTAAATAGAATATAAGATCTACTAAATTTTTTTATATTTTTTAAAAATAAATTTTAGCTAATTAAAGGAAAATATGTTTAAAAGAGTTTGTGAAAGAGTATTACTAACATTTATCTATTCATGTTATATATTTAACCCCCTCCTCCTAATTTTGTCAATTTAGACAAGGTATTATATTGATATCCCAATCACATTGAAATATATTTCACCATGAAATTCAAAGATATAACTTAACTTTAAAAAATCCTAACAATAAATTACATTTATTTCAAAACCAAATTTTAACTGAAATCAACTTTAACATGAACACGAAGACATTGTCTTCCTAGCATTTTGTCTTATTATATATTACTTCATTTTTATATGCATATAAGACCTTTTAGATTTTATTGTTAATCTCTTTATACGATATTTTAATTATATTTTGTATTAATTATTATTTTTTATTTAATTACACCTTTAGCCATTTAATTTTAAAATTATATATTTTATCACTCAACTTTCAAAAAAATTATATATTTTATCATGTTATTAGTTAATTATCTAACATTGTGAATTAAATATTGATGTGAAACTTATGTTATATCATTGTCTATATACCATATCAACAATCAATATGTTAATCATCAACATAATCAACTAATAAGGTGACAAAATATTTAAAACTTTAAAAATTTAGTGACAACATATACAATTTTAAATATTAAATGTAAAAAATCATGAAATTAAGAAATATGAGTGACAAGGAAATAACTAAGTTTTTTTTTAAAAAAATATTTTTAATTGATAAACATTTTTTAAAAATAATAAATATTAAAAACTAATGAGATAACATTTTTCTAGACAATTTTCAAACATTAATTAATTGATTAAAAAATATGGCTAAATAATAATAAAAATAATTAATTTAAAAAATATATAATATATTTTAAAAATTTTAAATTATGAATAAATTTAATATTATTAACTAAATTAACAAATTTTATTAAATATATTAACTTTAGGAAATTTTATATTTTGTTTTGGTTTTGTTCACAACAATTTTCTATCTTCAATTTTAATCTCAATTTGTATACAAGATCTAATATTTTTATAATTGTTTTGAAAATTATTTTCAAAAAATAATATAATATAAATAAGTTGAAAGAGTGAGAAGACGGAGGTAGTATGTTATAATAACTTCACCGGAGCCGGAGCATCCAAAGTGTCTCCGTTGCATGACAAGACAAGGACTCCCATGTTCTCTACTTAATTGAAGGTGACATCTCCTTCTACATGTTCCTTGCTTATCTTTTTCTGTCTTCCATCATTTGCTCATACTCACTCCTACTTGGATCTTGTTATGTTAATGCTCCCATAATTTATTTTATATCTAATTTCCCTGTTCCCCTTTTCCTAGCTCTAGAATCATGCTTCTTATGGAATCATACTTCCTATTCTTTTAGATTTTTTTATGATACATCATTTTTTCCAAAGTCAATATGCCAGTCTGCTTCTGAGAGTATAGGGATTTACTTTGCAATGGAAGTAACAAGCTCAAAAGTACACCAATATTGGATTTTTGTGGTTTCTGGAACATGGATCGGAGGAATATATTATAGATTTAACTCTGTATACAAACTTCAACTGCTTTCAAGATCCTCTCCCTTTCTTCTTACGGCTTTTCAACCTTAGGTTTATCCTTTCCAATTTTAGCCTCTTCTGTACTTTAAGTTTAAATATTTTTGCTGTACCCAGTTTATATTTTTTTAATTTTTAAAATCCCTGTTTTGCAAATTGAAATGGAAAATGAGGGGAAGTAGGAAAATGTTTCTTTGATTAACAAGAATTCATGTATTAGAATCAAAACCATTTTGGTTAGCAAAAATATTGTGACAATTTAACTAATTGATGCACATTCATGATTTCATATATAAACTGTAGAAAAAATGATTTCCATCCATCTATTTTACGATTCATATTTGTATAAATAATAGAAGGGCTGTTTTACAAGAGTGGAGGATTTATGTGAAATGTAATGCTTAGCAATTAGCATATATGAAAAGAAGTTTTAACTCATGTTTTTTTTCTTGGAGGAAACAGAATAATCAAGATGGCCGAGGCAGTTGTCTCCCTTGCAATTGAGAGGCTTTACGAACTACTGATTGAAGATGCCAGATTGTTTAATGGGGTGAGTGACAAAGTCAGGAAAACGCAAAATGAATTAATGAGTATCCAATGCTTCCTGAGCGATGCTGAGAGCAGGCAGGATGAAAGTGAGATTCTTAAGAATTGGATTTCAGAGATCAGAAAATTAGCTTATTGTGCAGAGGATGTAATTGAAATTTATGCTATCAAGGTTGCATTTGACATGATTGTTAAAACTAAAAATCCACTCTCCAGAGCTATATATCTTCGGAACTTCAGATCTGATCTCTCCAGAGCTATATATCGTCGGAACTTCAGATCTGATCTCATAACAATCAATAATGGAATAATTGACCTCACAAGAACATTACAAACTTATGGTTTGACTGCAGCAAGAGACAATGAAGAGAATCGCTCTGCATTTGAGAGGCAACGACGATTGAGATGGTCTTATCCTCATATAGTTGAAGAGTTCATTGTTGGCTTAGATGACGACATAAGCAAAGTGGTGAAATGGCTAGTAAATGAAAATCAGCATTGTCGAGTTGTATATATTTGTGGAATGGGTGGTATTGGTAAAACTACTCTTGCCAAAAGCATTTACCATCACAATAATATTAGACCATACTTTGATGCTTTTGCTTGGGCGCATATATCCCAACAATGCAAGAAAAGAGATGTCTGGGAGGGAATTTTACTGAAGCTTACTTATCCTTCGGATGAGGAAAGGGATGAGATTTTGAAAATGGAAGATGATGAAGTGGCAAGCAAGTTGTTTGAAGTTCAGCAAGAGAAAAAATGTTTGATCATCCTGGATGACATATGGAGCAATGAAGATTGGGACATTCTAAGTCCGGCTTTTCCATCAGAAAATACAAGGAGTAAGATAGTGTTTACATCCCGCAACAAAGACATTTTGCGTGTAGATCCTAATGGCCTTCTTCACCAACCAAGTTGCTTAAATGAAGAGGATAGTTGGACATTGTTTCAGAACAAAGCTTTCCCAAGACAACAAAACTCAGGTACTTACAAATCTCTTGACTCAGCATCAGCAAACTCGCCTTTTTTACCTCAAAGGATAATTTATTTATTTATTTTCAAAAATTTTATAATGAATAAGTTTAAAAAAATATTTAAAAACGAGTAAGTCGTGTTTATAAAACACTGAGTTGGCCACAGTTTTTTTTTTTTCTTTTTTTAATATATATTTTATTTACAAAAGTCGTGTTGGTAAAAATGACTTTCCATTTTTTAGTACAATGTAGGGGAAGTAACCACGGCTTCCTTTGACTTTTTTTTTTTTTTTTTTAACTGTTAAAACAATATTTATGTAGATAAAATTTATATAAATAAATTTAGAAGAGAACTTCAATTTTTCAAAAATATAAATAAAGAAGTGAAAGTCTTGTTGGTGAAACAGGACATTCACTTTAGAAGTCATGTTTTACAATCATAACTTATCTATTTCCGGAGTTTTCTTAAAATTTACTTATTTTCAGAATTTTTCTTTAAAAAAATTACCCCTTTGAAGTAAAAAAGTCGAGCAAACTCATCTAACCTAGAAATGTACATAGTTTGTGTCATTATTTTATTTTTAATTAGCTGGTCTCTTATTTGTCTTTTATATTAATTAATCTCTCTGTTTTTTTATTATAAATAAAGTAACTAATTTTACATATATTAAAAAAATTAATTAATTGTATTAAATTTTACTATTCATAATATTTTTCTAAATTATCTTTGTTATAAATACTAAGAAGAGTAGTGCAACTAAAAAATCATGCGGAGAGGTATGTCAAAGATAGTATTATTAAATGAGACCAAAATAATTAAATTTGTTTATATTTAAGAAAAAAATTATATTTTTTTCTCTTATAATAGAGAATAAAGAAAGTAACTACTAGATATAATTCCGCGCGTGCGGTTACCTGATATCTTAGGAGAAAAACTTATAAAATATTTTTATTCAGATGAATTTTTTAAATAATTAAGTAATCAACACATAATTTTAAAATATGTGATTGCATTAGTATTCGGTAGTTTAAAGCCGATAATAAGAAGAAAAATTATTTTTCTAAAGAGTAATAAAAAAATATCTTAAAATTATAAGATTATTCTACTTTAAAAAAAAAATCCTTGTCTATTTTTTCTCTATTTCATTTTCTAATATTTCTATGACATTTGTTTAACTAGTATTTTCCTCATTGTTCAATCTCTCATGGTCCAATCTCTCATGGTCATTACATTTGTTTCAAGATTCAATACCAATAATATGTTTATTTTAGATATAAAGATTCATTCTCTCTTCTAGTACTTGCTTAACATTCAAAACTTTCATTACATTGTTTAAAGTCTATACAAAAATAAAATAAAATATCATAAAAATAAAAATAAAAAAATCAAAAGAAATGACAATTAAACTTGTTGCCACACCAATACTATGATTAAAAAAAAAAACTACTCCAAAACTTAGAATTCATTTCTCATTTAGATTTAAACTATATCTCAAATTTTAAACACTAATATTTTTTTAATTTATGATTATCCATCAATGTAAATTAATGAAATAGAGTATTAAATAATTTTTAAATTTTTTAAAAATTTGCAAACTTGATTTATACATTAAAATTTTTTAATTTAATGGTTAGATTGTTAAAATTTCATATAAAACATGAGTTATTAAATGAAATAAATTTAAATAGACTTATTTTTAAAGTAAGTGAATCCCCTTCATATATATATATATATATATACATACATACATACACAAACATATGTATATATATATATATATGGGGAATGCTAATATATTCCCACCTATTTTTTAGTGGGAGTATGTTAACAACCTACACCAAAATTTTAGGACAAAAAAACCGCCCATTTCTTCTGATTTGGTTAATTTGTATAAAGGATATTATAGTAATTTAATTTAATTTTAAATAAAAATTAAATATTTTCTCTCTCTTATTAATTTCTTTCACTAAGTCATTTCTCTCTCCTATTAAATTCTTTCTCCAACCCATTTTTCTTTCCTATTAAATTATTTCTCTAACTTATTTATCTCTCTCCTATTAAATTTCTTCTTTAACTCATTTCTCTCTCATCTCTCATGAAATGACTTAGTGAATGAAGTTAATAAGAGAGAGAAAATATTTTATTCTTTTAAAATTAAATTAAATTACTATAATATCCTTTGGACGAATTAACTAAATCAAAAGAAATAAGTGGTTTTTTTGTCCTAAAATTTTGGTGTAGGTTGCTAACATACTCCCACTAAAAAATAGGTGGGAGTATATTAGCATTCCCTATATATATATATATATATATATATCATGTCTTATCTAAAAGAATGTTTTTGTTTATTTAAAAGTATAGATAAATGGGCCTTATGGTTTTCTTATATATATATTTTAATTGGCTATATAATAAGTGATACTTCAGGTGTTTAAGCCATAGCATAGCCATGTTAAAGCCATATGTGTAATATGAAATTCAAAAAGGAAATTTGGGTGTTGAGAAAAACAAAAAACTTTGCTTATATATGAAACCAGATATTGCCTCTTGTGCGAGTAGATAAATTAAATTATTTTAAATTTATTTGATTAAAACCATTTTTTTTATATGTTTCATATTGTAAAAAAAATGATTAGTTTATGAATGATGCTTTGTTAAAATAATTATATTTACAATGTAACATAAATAATTTAGCAACAAATTTACCTAAACAGATATGATTCTTATATTCGTAAATTGTAATGGATGAATTTTTAAAGTTAATATATGGTGTCAAAAAAATCTAATATAGTGAAAATTAATTGTAATCATTAATGAGCAAAAACATGTTAAGACTCGTAAGTCCTAACAATGGTAATGATGGATAAAGATAAGCCAAAACTAGAGTACTCTTTGATCTTTTACGGAAAGTGAAACAATTTAAATATAGTAACTCAAGTAATTAAGATAAATTTTTTGGTACAGAATTTTTTTTAAGATAATCAAAAGTTAAACATTTCAATTAATAACCCAAACAGTTAATTCTAATAAGGAGAATTGTAGGTACCAAGTCCTATGTTGGAACATTGTTGAAGAAGAAAAATAAATAAATGAAGAAGATAGCAAATCGTAATGCAATGTGAGTTGATAGTTTTTTAACTTTAAATGATGCGTTAGAGTCAAAATGGGAAACAGAGGATGACAGAAACTTTCTGCATTCAGTCTCCTCCTTAATACCATTGGGCTTGTTTTGAAAAGTAAGGTATGGACGTTTTTATTGAATTGTATTTGAGAATGTGACTCTTAAAGAAGGGATTTATGCTCTTTAACAACGAGTTATTTGGTGACTAATGACTTTTGTTTAAATTCAAAGTTGGATCTATATAAGTTTCAGCATATCTTGTATGCAAACATGGAAATGTGTATTAACATTTGTGTCTTGTTTTTCTGCATATACCTAAAAGAAAGAATTTGTGTATGCTTTGTTATGGTACCATTGTTTTGCTAATGTTATGATTAGCGTATGATTTATGCAGAATCCATAATTTCCGACGACTTTAAAAGATTAGGCAAAGAAATAGTTACAAAGTGTGCTGGTCTGCCATTGGCTATTGTCACCCTTGGGGGGCTTTTGGCTACAAAGGATACAGTCAGTGAATGGAAAACAATACATAGGTATCTAAGTTCACACCCAATAGGAGGAGAGTTACCTCAAAATCAAATGTTAGGCAAAGTGTTGGATTTAAGTTACCAGAACTTGCCTGTTCAACTGAAACCATGTTTGCTCTATTTAAGTCAATTCCCTAAAGACTCTGAGATACCAAGAACTAAACTAATTCAGTTATGGGTAGCAGAAGGTTTTGTTTCATCTCGATATGTTATTGAAGGAAATGAGACAATGGAGGATGTTGCTGAACGCTACTTCAGTAACTTAATTAGCCGCTGCATGGTTCAAGTTGGTCAGATGGGGTCTACTGGTAGAATTAAAACCTGTCGGCTCCATGATTTAATGCGTGATCTGTGTTTGTCAAAGGCCAAAAAAGAAAATTTTCTCTACATTATTGGTGGATCACAACAACATGGTGCCGTTGATGTTGCTTCTTCATCTAATTTATCAGATGCAAGACAAATTGATGAGGTTCGCAGGCTTGCTGTTTTCTTGGGTCAACATGTTGATCAATTGATTCCACGGGACAAGCAAGTGAATGAACACCTCAGGTCCCTTGTCTTTTTACATGACAGGAAATGTAGGATGGAAAATTGGGACCTAATTAAAGATGTTTTTGTGAAATTCAAACTACTTAGAGTTTTAGATCTTGAAGGAATTAAGGGGATGAAGGAAAAGTCATTGCCTAAAGAAGTGGGAAATCTTTTATGGTTGAAGTTTCTGAGCCTAAAAAGGACTCGTATACAAATACTGCCATCTTCCTTGGGCAATTTGGAGTATTTGCAATTCCTGAATTTGCAAACTGTCAACAAAGTGGGTTGGGATTCAATTGTGGAAATTCCAAATGTAATATGGAAGTTGAAACGGTTGAGACATCTATATCTTCCAAAATGGTGTGGAAATGCTGCTATCAACCTGCAACTGGAAAATCTAATCAATTTACAGACCCTAGTAAATTTTCCTGCCGGCAAATGTGACGTGAAAGATCTTTTAAAATTGAAAAGGCTCAGAAAATTAGTACTGAATGACCCAAGACATTTTCAAAAGTTGACTGAAAGTTTCAATCCCCCTAATAAGAGGTTGGACTGCCTTCTATCCTTGTCTTTAAGGACTGACATGCTTTCCTTTCCTGATAATGTAATAGATGTTGTAAAATTGGTGCTAGGCTGTCCTGCCCTCCATAAACTGCAGATAGAAGGGCGGATAGAAAGGATGCCAGAAGCCTATCTATTTCCTCCGCAGCTTTCAAAGTTGACTTTATGGGGTTGTAGACTTGTGCAAGATCCAATGGAAACATTAGAGAAGCTTCCTCGCTTGATGTTTCTAAATGGGTGGGATATGTTTGTTGGGGAGAAAATGGTATGCTCTCAAAATGGTTTTCCTCAATTGAAGGTTCTAGTACTTCGTAGCTTGCTTAATTTAGACGAGTGGACAATAGAGGATCAAGCCATGCCAGGTCTTCATCGATTGAGCATATCTGATTGTCATAGTTTAAAGAGGGTTCCTGATGGACTTAGATATATTTCTAGTCTTCGGGAGCTAGAAATCAGATGGATGCCTATATCATTCAAGACCAGGCTTGGGACTGCTGGTGATGATTACGACAAAGTCCAACATGTGCCATCTATTCTATTTTTGAACTAAGGATGTAATTTTAAAAGATTAACTACCACATTGAACCCACTTTCTCAAATTCATTGCTATTAGCTTTCCATTGGTATGTTCTTTCTGTCTTTTATATTTTGGTTGATTTGCATTACTATCTTCTGACAGACAACACAGTTGTTCGCCTCCAATGATTACAGATTATGTTCTTTGAACTTTTAGGCTCCACTCTTTTATTATTCCATGAAAAAGGTAGTTGGTTTCTTATGATTTGCTTACACAACAATTCCTGATTACAATTTTTTGTACTTTTAAATAGTGGACCTCTGTTTGGTTACACAGTTCTATATATTTTTTTATTTGACATTATATTTACAATATTGTTTGTTGAATATTTTTTAGTGAATTTCGGAACTTGTAACTCTAAGAAAGTTTGGTTGTTGTGGTATTATTACAAACTTGTAATAAAGTAACAACAATGCTTTGTGTTTTCATATTGTGTTTAATAATTACGATTTGTGCACACAGCACACTTCGACGAAAGGAGTACAATTTTTTATACTCATGTTATTTCATTTAACTTTCTTCTAGTAACATTTTTTCTTACTTTAATTCAAAAAGTTGGGTGCTAAAAAAATAATCATACAAATGTGAGTGTTGTTATTTTAAGGTAAGGAATATATACTAAAAGTGGATAAAAAAAATTCCCACAAAAGAATGTCTCGGATTTTAATGTCATGAGTATGATAACATACTTGGCACTTGTGTGAAGATAGTGAAAAGCAATAACAAAGTTATTTCATAGCAGTTTTTTTCCTTACACGTCTGCACTTACACCGCCTGCACCTACTGCAATTGCACCGCTTGAAACTGCTCTATCTGTACATTTTGAAGTTGCTGCACCGTTTGATGCCTCGCCCATTATTGACACCTTGATGCCTCATGTGCGTGCTGATCCAGCTGTTGAAATGGCAGCGCAAACTGTTACAATGGACGCACCATTTATCGCTCCAAGGGCTGCACCAATTTCGACCAAGGTGCAGCAAATGTGAAGATAGTGAAAAGCAATAACAAAGTTGTTTGATAGTAGTTTTTTTCCTTACACGTCTGCTTCATTAGAATACTCCCTTTACATCACAGCACAACAACACAAAACTGAGGATACCCTTTTCTATTGTGGTTGAAGAAGACTAAATTTAGAAAAGAAAAGGTAAAGGCAAAGTCTATAAAAGAAAGGGAATGAATGTCTCATGAGTCGTGTTAAAGTATCCTTCATAGAGAAAACTATATATATTGCCTTACCAAGTCAACAATAAGCAATCTCAGCTGCCATCCCATTCTGTTCTGTAACTTTGCAAATTATGCCTAGAGAATTTGAAATATACAATATATATTTATTATGTAATCCTTTGAAATATATGGGATACCACTTTGTTGAAAGCCCATTCATAAGTTTTGATACCACTTTGTTTGAAAGAGAAGTGTTTCTAAAATAGAATTCAAACCTTCTTGACACATGGGAAACACTTCTAGATTGTTTTACACATAAATTTAAGGCTCTTCTAATATTTACATAAATACTTTCAAATAATTCTATACTTTCTAATCAAATGCTACATAAATTACTAAATAAGTCAATATTGCATAAATGTCAGGACTTCCACTAAGTACTAACTGTTAGATAATCTTAAATTTTAGAGATATCCGAGTTAGTACTCGCAAGTCTGAGAGTTTGGCCGCCATGTTGCTATCCAAAAGAATTTTATAAGGTGTTATGTCACGATGAAAGATGGTTCGCTTGGCACCTGTGTGAAGATAGTGTAGTCCACGTGCTGCTCCTATGCAGATCTTTAGCCTCTGCTTCCATGTTAGTGGTTCCATTTTCACATCACTACAATATAGGTGATCATGGAGAGATCCATTGGTCATGTACTCATATACAATATTCTTCTCGTCTTTGTGATCATAAAATCCAATTAGAGTGACCAAATTTGGATGACGAAGCTGGCAGAGTAACTCAATTTCGTTCTTGAACTGCTTAAGTTCTTTCTCTGTGCTCCCACATATTCGCATGATTGCAACTGTACTTTCACCATTGTGTTGGAGAGAACCCTTATATACAATACCAAGGTCTCCACTTCCAACTATTCGGTTTTCATCAAAGTTGTTGGTTGATTTTCTAAGATCGCCCAACAAAAATTGTTGACATAGCTCCTCTATCACTATTGGATACTGTCGTTGAGATGAACCCGTATGCTTCGAACAGCAGAAGCCCAAAGATTTTATAAATATCATCCCAACTTATACCTGTTTTGTTTTCATTCACAATAATATTCAACTTTCATTCTTCATAGACAATCTTATCTGAACTTTGCATCCTGAACATGAATGCTCATCTTTTTGAAACCAAAATTAAAAACATTAGAACGTATCTCTTAGGGGTGGAAAATTTGTGGGTAATTATGAATATACAAATTAAGAGGAAGTTATAGAGTAGCATTCTTAAGTGCAAACTTCATTACCCTATTTAATGATTTCAGGATTGTGGTCAGAAGGACTAGGTGTTAACCTACGGTTTGTTATTGACAAAGATACACTGCACTCAAGATGCTCTCCCACCTTGTTTTCTTTCCTTAGTTTTTACACTTTCCTTTTCAATCTAAGTCTGCTTCTGTACCAAAAAGTTAATCTGATTAGTTTTGATTTCACATATCCCTGCGTTTCATTTCAAAATGGAAAATAAAGGAAAGATAAGGAAAGTGCTTTTTTAATTCTCATATTTTGCGTATAACAATCAAACTTTATACAACTAGATCAAATTTAAAGTAGATACTGGACCATCTTCTATGCAAGTGATGTAAAACTAACATTAAACCAAAGAGGAAATATAGACACCCAAAATAATAAAATAAAATGAATTCAATGGTAGTTTGCATGTTTTAAGAACGAGAGAATATAGAGATGTTGAATATTACAAAAGATTACCCGGAGATGAAGGCAAGGCAGAAACAATACTTCAAACTTCTGTTCAG